GTCTCCCACCAAAGCCTATTAATGATGTGACACTATGGAGAAGGGCTGGGGAGCGCTTATCCTCTGGTGTGAATTCACAACAGCTGTTTCCTTCTGACACACCAGCTTAAGCATGGCTCCTTTGCTTTCAGGCCTCTGCTAATCCTCTGGCTTCACACTCACTCTGCTCCCCTCTCGACCCGTCTGCCTGGGAGCAGGGTCCCCCCAACAGATACTGCTACCTCCCCAACTGCTCTCACACGCTTGACTCTTTGCACAAGGACCCCAACCTAAACTTTGTTTAATTTTAACTGATGCTCCTTCCTGTGCTGCTGCATCAGAGCCGCTCTGGAGCTGATGCTTTCGGAACAGCTGGATTGGAAAGAGGTGAGGTGGGGGGGGGGAAGGGAGGAAAGAGGAGACAGGAAAAATAAACCAAATACAATTGCTTTTTGTCTCTAAACCCCGCTTTTTAACCCAACGAGCGTCTCATCCAATGAAGCATGATGAGCATGAAGTGTTATATAAAGAAGATAATTATAAAGGGATTTAATGCTTGGCAGGCTCGTATCGCAAGGTTTATAGCGGAGGTAGCATACTCACCTAAACAGCCTTGTGTCCGGGTTTGCTATTATGCGGGCAGCGCGGCTGGGGCCAAGCGGAATCAGAAACAAGATTTGTTTTACGAAAAAAAAGAGCACAGCCCCCTTTCCGCAGAGGATGGCAGCTCCAGTCCCACCTCCTTCCACTTCTGTCCCATCCCTGATTAATGATGTTGTCTGTCTGATTTATGACCCACCTCAACAGATTAGAGTTTCCCTCTTCAACCTCCCCCCCCCCTTCCACCCCCCCAGAAGGCACAGCCACACTCCGCTGGAAATATTAGAGAATTATTAAATAAACATTCATACGTCATGTCTCTTCCCATACTGAGCTCATCGTAGTCAACGCTCAGCGGCCGGGTCCTGTTTGCTTTGGGGCTGACACCAAACAGCTGGAGTGATTCATGGAGAGGCTGGCTACAATGCTCTGTGCCATATATCATGCTCGCAGCGCTCCCTGCCCCGGCGGAGATAAACTGATCAACCACAACGGGCTGGAATGAATTTATGACAACACAAAATTGAGGAAAACAAATGGGAGGTGACCCAGTGGGCCACTAACCCAGACTCTCTCGCTGGCCTGCAATCTAGTCTGGTGGCAGAAAGCAAAATTGAACATTGGCACTCTGAATTAAGATGCTGGCTTTTAACCCCGGGGAACCTTGGTTTCAAAATGGCACTAGACCCTCACAGGCAGCATCTCAGGAGGGAGAAGGGAGGAAGGCTTTTTGCAGGGAAGGTGCTTTTTGCAGTTCTCTGTGCGACAGCGCTTTGGCTGAGAGTACAACGTTGGCGAAGGAGTCGGGGAGGATGCCTAGGCTATTAGGGACCGGCTGCTCTCTCTGAGCAAAGCTGCATCTTGACTAGAGGTAAAGGAGCGTCGCACTGGCTGAGTTCTGCCCGTCTGCTGAAGTCAGTCACCGGTGGCTGGGGTCTTCAGCAGACAGGCAGAGCTCAGCTGGTGCGCCGCTCCTTTACCTCTTCCCATGAGCCTTCAGCACCCCAGGGTGTCTCCCAGACACCTCACGTTGGTGAGATTAGAAACACTCAGCAGGGCTGAGACACCTCGCAGCGCTGGGAAGGAGAGGGACCAGCGCGTCTCTCATTACCTGTGGCTGCCATCTGAAGTTCAACGCAACGCAGATGAGGTCAATGGTGAGAAATCTGCCCGAGCTATCAATAACCTGGCATGGCTGGGAAGGAGAGTGGGACCAGTACCACCTCTCTCATTACCTGCGACTGCCATCTGAAGTTCAACACAACACAAATGAGGTCAACAGTGATAAACCTGCCTGAGCTATCGACGACCTGGCATAGCTGCAAAGGAGAGCTGGGACCAGCACCACGTCTCTCATTACTTGTGGCTGCCATCTGAAGTTCAGCGCAACACAGATGAGGGCAACCTGCCCAAGCTATTGATGACCTGGCACGGCACAAAGAGCAGGGCAACAAACACAGACTTGCCCTAAACCCCATCTAGTCGTTCTACATGCAAGAGACTCTTCCAAGAAAACCTGAGTTTAGATTAAATTAACTTGCTCAAGCAAAGAGCTTCAGCTGCGTGCCAAAAGGAGGACCACTTGCTGTACGGTATTAATGGATTAAAAAACAAACAAACAAAACCACACTGTTCTCCTTACCTAGACTTATTTTTGGAAGAGGGGAGGGGGAAGGAACGTCATTCTTATGAGAAGGATCAATACGCGGATCGCTGCTAACTCTATTAGCCGCTGCTCTAAACGGAGAGCACGGCTGACACAGGTGGTAAGCCATGTGCTTCTGGACACTTTTAAAAATGCTAATCAGATGCTACACAGGGTTTAACACGCCAATCAATAACGCTCAGATTTAAAGGCAAAAATTAAAGTTACAAACAATGGAGTAAAGTGATGCTGCCAAAAACTTCCTGTAAGCGCCACCCAAAACAAGAAAAATGAAACCAATTTAGCTCCAGATTAAGAAACAGGAACTAGAGATGAATCAATTTAGCCTGTTGGGCTGGGTTGCCATATATCATGGCTCAGCAGTGGAGTGGGAAGCAGCCAGACAGTGTGAAACCCTTCCCCCTCCTTTTCTGTAGGCTTCTAGCTCTGATCCCTGTTATCAATTAATTTAACAGAACCCCTCTACACAGACAAGCACACAGAGCATTCAGACTCCTTAAATGGCAGGACAGAAACTATTTATCACGCACGAATCTCAAAGGAAAGAAGGAGCGGGGGGAGCAGCTAGAATTCTCCACCTGAAACACCATCTTGTTTTCTGAATCTCAGTGAAATAAAGCGCCTTAAATAAAAAGCTCTCCCTGCTACTTTCAAAAGCAACATTATTGGACAGACTCAGCAAGATACTTAAGGCTTTTCCTGTAATTTCTATTGGGTTTTGCTGACTTTTCACGCCTTCTGCAGAACTGAAGCTTTAGCGGGGCAAGGTTATTCCAGAGCAAGGCATGTGTGCATACACGTGCATGCACACACGCACATACACGCTCCCCCCACTTCACAGCGGCGTTAGCACAAGTGTTGTTTAGAGAGGATTCTGGGATCCTTCGAAAGGTGCTAGCTAAAGTCTCTCTGATCAGATTATTAAAGCTATGTCAATTTTATCACTTGAGCTCAAGTGTTCTGGAAAATGTCAAATCCTTTCAGCTCCTGCAGTTTAAAGATTTTCAATAGGAGTGGATCTGGGAGGGTGGAGGGCTGCTGGGCTGACAGGCAGGAGGCCCAAAGGGAAGCCAAGCAGCAGCTCAGACAGAGGCTGACAGATTAGGCCAGAAGGGATGAGTCCTTGCCACCAAGACAGCATGCAACGTTGGCTCACTCTAAGGACAAAGCTGCTTCTGCACTGACCTGTGAGCTCCCAGACTCAGTGATCCTTGGCCAAAGTCTGCTCACTGAGAAGCACTGAACAGCAGATAGCCCACGTTTGGAACATGCTAATAAAAAGCCTTGTAAAAAGGAAAGTGCCGAGACAGCAAAACAATGTTAAAGTTTCCTTTGCAGCAGGGAGTTTCCCCAGTTAACCCCTGACTGTGAACATACGCTTTGCCAGGCTGCCTGAACTGTTAGAGATGCCGAAATGTGCCAGGGACTCAACCTCTCAAGTCAGGACCAGGGGGCAGGAGGAGAACAAACAACATTAAAAACCAAAAATTTTCTGTAAAATCAGCTTAACGTTACCACCAGATTTTCTCCCCATCCCAAATTATCAATGGACCTGACCCCCAAAATGCAAATGTCACCTGTTTAAAATCCACAACTACCTCATTGCTTCCACCTCATTCAAGCTGTTTTGTCTCTCACTTGACCTTGGGGCAACACTTTATGTCAGGCAATAATCAGCTTAAAACACTGCCCCATCCCAATTAATGCAGTTCATGGCAGCAGTGAAGAGCCTGTAGTTTTAGGCTTGGATCGTCAAATCTGCCTGAGCAGTAAGTCACCCTAACAGTGTGTGGAAGGATGCTGAGGTTGTTACTCAAATGCACAGTGCAGATAACATAATTTGTTTCTATCCCGGACCAGGCTGCAAGATATCCAGCGAGCAGAGACAGGAAAGGAGATGTCCAGGAGCCCCTGCACTATTGTATATTCAAACACTGGGACAAACTTCTGAATCAACTGGAAGAGCTGCAGGTAAAAAACCTCAGGAACTGAGACATTATATCCATTAGCAAACACACAAAGGTAAAATCTGGATCTTAAAGGAAAAGAAATTCTCTCAGTGAGGCTTCTGCCAAGTTACAGGGCTGCTGGGATTCCCTTTTGCTGGAGAGATGGAGGGTGGAACATACAGGTACCATGGAGAAAACAGTAGAGAAACCATGTGAAGGACTGCCCTCAAAAACCAAGATGCAACGATAAGGTAACTTCTCTAGTAAAAGCAGGATCCCATGATACATTGATAGAAGAAAACTTGCAGGGAGAATAAAAAAAACAATCGAAGTACAGCTTGACAAGCCAATTGCTTTTGTCAAGTTAAAGCGGGTTTGAATCTTCACCTCCCGTCCAAAGTCCCAGCTCTAGTCTAGGCTGCTATGCACCACAGAACATATTTGAAAACCCACCATAACTAGAATATGGTGGAAAGCATGGATATATCTATTTACATATTTTATAAGAAGGCAATTTGCAGTGGAGAAACCCTTTGGAAGCTGCACTCAATTCCTTGTCACTGGGTACCTGCACACGCAGATATCTGGGGGAGAACTTTCCACAGGCCCTCTGTGGATGCAGCAGCAGCAAGTCAGGACACCCACAGCTCCAAGTCCAGGCTTCGTGTTGGAGCACAACTTCCCTTCTCAGTGGTAAAAGCTTCAAATATGCCTACCCTCAGACTAGCACTGCTTCTAAGAACACCAGATGGGACACTATGGTTCCTTAAAACAAGAAAAATGAAAGCTATCCACTCTGCACTCACTTTTCAATGTCACTGTTCTTACAGGTCTTCTGCATGGTCTCCTGTTTACTGCTTTCACCATTACTTGTTGAGGGCATTTCTGTTGAGGGAAGAACAGACAAATTAGTAAGAGAACATTTGATCACTGCAATGAAATAGTCTGAGCGAGTTACAGTTTCAGAAGCAGAGGAGCCCGATGAGTCATTTTCATGCCGATTCTCGGAAAGAGAGAGAAGAGACCGATGCTACGTGTCCCTGTCTGGCAGGGAGGCCCTCTCTCTGTACAGCACGCTTCTACGATTCGGGGCTGAAGATACTGACTGACCCTTGCAGATGTTCCAGTTGTTTAAGCCAGGATTTAATTCAGAAAGGTTTGATGCAGCTGCCATGCCAAAGTATACTTCTAGAAAGGTGGATCTGGAGCAAATCCACCCAGCCCAGACCGAGCTCTCAGCTTCTGCCTTTTTCTGAGACCCCTCAGACACAGACAGGGAGAAAGATATATGCCAGGTAACTAGTACGACAGAACAGTCTGCTCATAGCTCTCCTCTACTGGCAGTCCCATGGCTCCTCCCAGCACTGGAGGGGATATGAGACACCAGTCGGAGATGAGCCAGATGAACTGTCCTAGGGCCAGCCCCTGGGCTGTAGGTTCAGCACCATGGCTTCACGTAAAAGGTATGAAGAAAACAGCTCATAGCAAGTGCCATCAAGGCTGCTTCCTCATCACCTCTGTGGTAGTAGTTACTGAAGCTGAACACACCTACAAGCAAGTGCTCCTACATCACAGAAAATAAATGCGACTGCCTATCCCACAGAAGAAAATGCCTGCGATAGATATCCTATGTTCTCCATTTAATCATCATGCCCTTGGCAAAACTCCTTCTACCCACTCCCCCTCCCACTGGCAAGCAGTTATGTCTTGTAGGTACTTTCAAGGCTGGGAATCAAATGCCCAAAGCATTACAGTAACAGAACAGGGAACAAAGTCATTGGGACAAGTCTCTTCAGGTCGCTGAGCTTCAGTTCCCTTCCTAAGGGAGCTGAAACAGCACTGCCCAGCTCTGGAAATGGATTTGGCATCTACAGCTGGAATGCGCCAGGTTTTATTATTGTCATATTTCCACTAGGTTGCTGCTTACACTTCCAGTGCTTCTGGCATTAAATAAACCCCAGCAGTCGAATGGGTTTAACACACCACCCCCACCCAATGCTATGAGCTTTCAAATAACGCATGCAAAGGTACAATTTCACATTCACTCATTTGCTCTGGAGTCTCAACAGGTAGGACAGATCCTAGAGTTCCCACTCCAAAGGTGCAGGCTTCAGAGCTGCAGGCTTTTCTTGCCATACAGAGGCCAGCAAGGACAAGACCTACCCAACAGATCATGATACAAGTCTCTAGCATACCCTTTTAAAGAAGAGAAGATGATAAGAAAGCAGTTGAAAAAAACCCAAGCAACAGATGCCTGTGCAGTTTAAACCCCCAGCAGCTGAACACCACCATCTAATAGTCAAGCTCTGATGGCTCCCTCTGTGATACAGCAGTTTGTCTTTTAGTGACATGACAGCAAGTCAATCCAACCCCTACCTCTTACCACCATACCAGTTAAAGTTGCTTTTTTGGGAACTCCCCTGGCTGCCACTGACTACAGTTAATCGTGCTGTAAAGTTTCAAAAAGATAGTGTGGTTGTACATGCATACATATCTGCTGGTACTGTGCAAGAGCACTTGTAACTACCACTTTCCTAACTACTGGCAATCAGAACATATGGAATATCTATCTGCTCTCCTGTAGCATACAAATTAATAAGTTACAAGTTCAACACTCACCGTCGCTGGCCCATTTAGAAAACTCCGGTGTTATTCGAGTACTGGGTGTCCCACCACTAAAAAAGAAAAGGGCAGAATGCTAAAGGTTGAATATGGAAAATTTTGCTGCTCAGGAAAAGCTACCCCTTCCAACAACCACTTCTCTCTCAATACTTCTATCCATCAGCCTAGGCTTCAAAATGTGAGCGGTTGGCCTGCTGCAGGAGGTGTTTTTGTGATAGTCCACATTTCCACTAGTGTTCTCCCAACCTGCACTTCTAGCTGTGACCTCTGCTGAATCACACGGGGGTTGTGATGCTGACTGAAGGCTTGGGATTCAAACAGCACCTGTGACCTAAGGCTCATTTTTGAATACACAATTTCAAAGATGAAAACCTTACTCATGAACAGAAATCCTCTGTGTTGCAATAGCTTCTCCCTTTAAGAATAACTTTACACCTTCACAAGCCCTATCTTTTCCATCTTCCCATGTGAAGAATAGCAGCACTGAAGAACAGACAACTCCTAACCCTGTCTATTCTCTTGTAAGCCAGTAACAGAGACTAAAAGAAAAGAATTTTCTGAGCAGGCTGCACACCTGTGACATTTTAGCTCTATGAGCTAAGTCAGTTGCACTCAAAAGGTAATGTAGATCATGCTTCAGGGCATCAGCTACCCTACTGCATTTCTACAGAAACTTGCCAGAATGTCAAAGTGCTTTTACAAGCAACATCATCTCTCCTGTTTTAGAGATGGGGAAACAAGTCCAGGAGACGTGCAAGGACCTTGCCCAAACAGCAAAACAATGTGTTAGCTGCAAGCCACATGAAGGAACTGGGTCTCCTGGCCTCAGGTCTTCAGTTGTCTCACCAAGCACAAAGTGTCCACAGCCACTGATAAGGGATACTCTGATATCTTCCTGCTACAATACTGCTTTCCTGGCTGTGAAGGAGCTTCAGCATCTTTGAGGCCCTGCCTATGGACTAGCACAGTTAGCAAAGAATTGAATGGACCAATGGTTTGGATCTGGTGTGGCAAATGCCACTTTTCTATGGAGTGGAACCTAATTTTGAACCAGTGTTTGTGACAGGCTAAGCAGTAAGAAAACTTCATTTCACTGTGCTATCAATCATTTCAACCTTGACCTCACAGGATCACTCAGTGAAAGAGATAGAGGGGTAGTTTAAGCCATGTTTTATGCAGGGCAGAGGGCTTAGAAAGCAATCCTACCTCCCTGTTAAGACTCATTTTATTTGCCTGAAATGCTTCCTCAAGTGCCCTGAATGCTGGCTGCCTACATTCTCCACGTATGTATGTGGGCAGAGCACAGATCCTGCCCCGACCTGCCCCAACCCCAGAGCCAAAGGCAGAAGGATTAGTTTGTGTACCCCACAACACATAATGGGATGCAATGAAATCATACCCCAGGTGCCAGACCCCTAATGTGCTGAACAAGATTCAGATGGCATCACATTATACTACTACTAAGAGGCCACATTTAATCGTGAAGCAGGATGATGCATAAGGCCTTAGTACAGCATAGTTTCCCCCATCACTAGAATTCACCTTCTGTCCAGCACCGTTCAGGGAGAAGACGGCACTTGCTGGGCAGTGGGGTGGTTAAGGGAGGGAGAGTGTGCAGGGAGGCTTTATGAGGCTGCACGGGTAGAGACCCACCCGACACACTATGCTTCTTTGTAAGTCTCTCTTGTGCAACCCTTGTGCTCAAGTGAACGGGTATTTTCCACAAATTGAGATTCCCCAAAAGTAATGAAAGCAAATTAGAAAGGCACAGTACTTACTTTAAAACAGCACCTCGGAGCGCCTCCCTCTCTTTGGCTTCACCTGGCTCTTCCCCAGTGCAAGGGATAACGTCTGCCTCTGTGTACCTGAGCACAAGGGGTTAAGGAACATACAGCCTTGCTGCAGACAGGGGAAAGGCTTTTGAGATGGCTGGGACACCACTGGGATACAGAACAAATTCATTCCAACTGGGAACACCTCAAAATAAGAGGGGCTGGTATCCATGGAGGGGCTTGCTTTTAAATCCTGGATTAAGTTTTGTTTTAGGTGGAAAGAAACAGAAAAGTTGTCTGACAGCAACATGACGCCACAGCCCCTTAAAAGAGGAAACCCAATTCCTCAACCTCTGCAAGCCTAACTTGCACAATTCCGCTATTTCTGTTTAAGGTACAGAGATCTTTTACCAGCTAAGGGTTGGGGCTTCAGTCCTTAAAGGCTGGTACAGATTTCAGTAAAATCTAATTCTATAGCTATACATTCCCCATCATCACTGCTAAGTCAATGTCTACCTAATACCCTTGCACTAATTGCTCTTTGATGGCTGTACAGCTGTTGCAGGGCAGAAGTCTGCCCACAGTTCTTCCAGAGCTGTGTCCAAAGAATCTGGCTCCCACATGGAGATGTTCCCAAAAACTGCCCTTAATGATAGTTCTGCCCATGAACTGCCTACTGAAAGGAAAAAGTTCAGTTTCTTAGAATAGCAGGTGAATACTGCTTGAAATATTTACTGCACAAACCCCTGAAAACAAAGGGGTGTCTTGTGGAAAATAAACTCAATTCCTACCCATGAAGCAGGAAAAGCTATCCACATGCAGGAAACCTGGATGGAGACAAGAGATTGCTTATGAAACAGAATACAGAACACTTAACTTTGATCTCCTGCAATGTCTCCTACAGACTTCACCAACTGGGTCTGAAGTAGTGCTGCATCAACAGAAGGATCTCAAAGGCAGCAACTGGGAATCCCTCCTAGTTCAAATAACATGGGAACTAGGGAAGGCAGTGCCATTTCCAGTAGGGTTGGACACAGATTATCCACCACTACCCAGGGCAGTGCTGTTTGAAAGTTAGCTAAAGATGTAACTCCAGGTTCCCTCTCAGTAAGAGCCTTTCAAAAACGATACTGTGGTTTGCCGTATTCAAGTGTGTCGTCTCCATCCACATCCAGGTCAGCGTCGCTGTCTGGATTCTCCTTGCCGCTGCACATGATAAACCCAGAACCTGAAAGAAAATAAAACAAGTGGATGAGCATTTGAATTGGAGTTGAAGTGTAGGAGATCTCCTAAGGACAGTGCGACAGCACCAGTCTGCAGGCTGTCCTTTACTCTTACGGCTTCACAAAAGGTACCATATCTCCAAAGACTGCACAAGAACAATTTTCAGAAGACTGCACAGAAAACACTCACAGAAATGCTCTAACTTCCTGGATTTTATGTTCTAAAATGCCCCTTAACGCTGAAAATGAAACATTCTTGATCTTTTGCTCTCCACACAAGTTATTTTAAAGTTGAAGGCACTGGAAGGGTCTCTCTCAAAGACAGAAAAAAAATTGAAGCAAAATAGAGAAGACTGATTTTTCATAGAAAATAGGGAAGACTGATTTTTCATAAGAGTGGTCAACACACAAACTACACTACTAGCAAGTAAGAGAAGGCCACAGGGACATTCTGAATCAGTCCTTAATTCAGATGCAGATGGCAGGCAGAGGCTAAAATACAATTAGAAATACCTTTTTCTTTTTTAAATGCATTCAGTCATGACTTAGATTTTTACAATACAAAACATTGAAGAATAGCGAACCTGTTTCTAGGAGAAGGAAAAAAGAAAAAAAAAAAAAAATCAGACTCCACAGTCATTAACAGCCCCTTACAAGCACTTCTTATGTGAGCAAGTCCAAGTCAACAAGAGTCCTGCACGTCCAACAAGGGTGAATCGGGCATGGGCTCAGTCCCAACTCCAGCAGGAGGCAAGTGTACACAGTTCCACCTGAGACTGAACTGTGTAACAACTGCCACTTTCTAACAATCTATACATATATTTTGGTTCTCAAGCATTTTGTTGACTGTGTTATTTCTGATCGTAACCAGGCTTCTTTTAATTGAATCTGTGTGCAAACACCTGCAAAGATGAACCTTCACCTGGTATTTGCCACTAAGGTTTATTAATAGCAGGTGAAACTAAGGAAGATATATATTTACCCTTTATGAGAACTAACACTGGATATGCTCTCTCCTATGAGATTGGAAATTAAGCAAAGACCTCCTGAATTCTAGGGTAGTGCAAGGTCCTCATTTGCGTTCAATTCTACAGCAGATCTAAGCTGCTTGGGGACATGAGCTATGCAGACAGAAATTTGCTCACTCTGGCTGCCTCCAGTACGCTCCTTCACTTAGCATTCCACTGTCCAGACAGCAGACCTGGACACCTGGCTCACAGACAGAGGGTACCTGCTGGAACCTGAAGGACCTCGCACATCCAGATGGCTGGTGACCTAAGTCTGTGGCTAGATCAGGGAGCACATCCCACCTGCAAACACTGAAAGAGTAAGATAGACGTAGCCTTGGCTTTGCACAAATGACACAAAAGTGGTACATTTCTGCACTGTGAACGTGGTTCTAAGTGCAGAAGACAGGCTAAAATGAATGTAGAAGCACTGGATATAAGGTGCATGTCTGAAGAATGAGGACACTCCCAAGCGTTAGGGTAGCCCTTTTAGTGCTACAGATCCCTGAGTCTGTTCACCCCACTGGGCTCTCACCAGCACACTTACACAAGCTCAACAGCAAACTTGCACCTTCCCAGCTCAGAAGAGTGAGCTATATTTCTAACAGTCTGCATCTGTGCAGAGAGCAGGGCAAGGCAAAGGTCTCATTTCCAAGGACACCATGCAGACACAGTTCTTTACTGTCGCTCTCTAGGAACGGATGCTCTCACTGATTCATTAAGCCCCCAATAAAATTTGTTTATATGGATTTGATATTTCTCTTCCCTGAATATAAAGAAGGTCCTTAACGAGTGATAACTGTAGCATGACAATGATTTTAAGACTAACCTTTCTGTAGAAGCATAAACTACCTTTTACTTCAAAGTAATTGCCAGCCTTAATTTTCAGCAGAGGTAACAAAACCAGCATCGACAATGTAGCATCCACCATCTGCGCCAGGTACTGCAGGAGCCATGCTCGTAGGTCAGCTCTGTGTTGTCACTGGGGCAGCCCTCTTCCAGCAGACCTCTTATAAAGTGTTTCACATACTGGCTGCACGCTGCCAGCCAACACATGTCACGAGCTGCCTTCTTTTGCTGCAGTGGCTCATCTAGTAAATCTTGAATCCTTCAGTTCATCACCATGTTTGGGAGAAGATTTAGAGGAGTAAGAGAGACCTGTCAAAGAAGCTGGATAGTCTTTCAAAGCTGCCTTAGAACTCATAGTGGGCGATGGGGTGGTAATTTACAGGTATGGCATTTAACCTGCAGTAACACCATCCCCTGCATCTGGCATTACTTTAGCCCATCACTTCTCAAAGGCCATAAACTTTGGACACACAGGTCTCCATTTTTCTTGTAGCTGTGGGAAACACAAATCATGCAAAGCTGGAGCTGTGACTGGCCAGCCCCGGAGGTGATCTGAATGTTAGCCAGACAATGAATACTTGGAGCAAGTGCCTTGGGAGGGGGGAAAGGCGTCCAAAAGAGTGAACCTAAGTGGGACTCCTCCCTGTGTCCCTCTCTCTGCAAGGATGCCAAGCACACAGCAAATATGCACCTTTCCATCTATTTTGTTTCCAAGTGACTCAAGCCAAGTAGTGGTTTATGGTTAGAGCTTAAGAAAAGAAGATCTGCTTACTGTGATACAATTTACAAATATTAAGGCACCTTGACTTCAGAATCTTGGCGTCCTTGCTCTCAAAACCTTTGTACTCAAGAAAATCCCTTTTAAGTCTGAAAGGAAAATACTCCACAGACCTTTTGCTGAATCTAGCTCTATAATAGGAACCACTGCATTCCCAACAGAGTACTACCCACCCTGCACAGGGAGGGTGCAGAGGAAGGGTTTGGACATTGTGTGTTATGATGACAGATACACACTGGGATGTTCTGATACAGCATTTCAGTCAGAGAGGAGGGCATAGCAGAGAAGTTCATAGGTTAAGATGAGGGGCAGGAGAAGGGCAAATTTTCTTTTCTGATCAAACAAGGACTCCCAGGCCAGGGCCTAAAGGAAGCTGCAGTGAGGTGATCCAACTCTCAGATTTTCACCAAATACGGACTTCGGTGGTTTTTTTTTTTTGAACATGACCAAGTGCAATCCATTGCAACATGGTAAAAAAAACTGATTCAGAAACGGTATGCTAAACAAAGTAACCTCCCTGTACTGAGAAAAGAGTGAGTACAAGCTGTACTATCAGTTTTAGGACTTCAGAGGCTGCTTTAAAAAAACAAAAGGAAAAACAAAATCCACAAAATATGTTTCCGATGTGATCAAAAGGTCCATAAATCCCAGTACTGCCACTGCATGCAAGAGAACACCAAAGAACAGGATGCAAAGCTCGGTCCAGCATCACCTGCAGAGCGAACAGCCTGCCACCGGCATCCTAACGCCCTTTCACCTGCAGCAGGGATGGATTTTGAGGCCAGTTCCGGCGGGCTGGGGTTTGGTGCCACAATTTCGACCTGACCCTCCTTGTCTAACTTCCTGGAGTCGCTTCCATGCACAAAGCCAGTGAAAACACCCACGCAGCTGTTCAAATATTTAACGTCTGAACTGCTTGACATTATTCATTCATCTCAGGCTCATTCAAACCAGATTTCTGGACAAGTGCTGTTATAAATGGATTAAGAGGACCACTAAATGCAAGGAAGGCCTGATAGGATCACACCTGCTTCTCGCTAACTCAGCCCAAGTGTAAAGAGGGCTCATAACTTCCAGCTCCTGCCGGTGGTGTACGCTGCCATCCAGGAGCAAGGAAAACGTGAAATGGAGCACAGAGGGCATCGAGCAGAGTAAAATGGCCTTTGCAACGGCATTGTTTTGGACCTGCTAGAGGAGAATGGGAGCTTCCAGAAGACCCCCTACCACTACACTCGGGTGATTTGCAATTCAATAGCACGCACTGGGAACGGAGAAGGATTCCTCCAGCAAGGCTTGGCTTCTGCAGATCACACAGTAATTCATGGCCGTCAGCAACGCTGCCTAGAGCGGACCTCTAAAGCCAACGCCACTACCTAGAGGTCAATGCTCAGGACCAGCACTTTATCCCAATGTGTTAATAAAGTGAAATCCTACAAGTGAATGTTAAGTCATGAGTTTGACTCAGGAATTCACAAGAGACACAATCCTGAGGCTGTTATTCACAGGAGCAGCTGCGAATCTTACAAGCAGAGTCACCTAAGGCCTGAAGAACGTAACTCCACATGTGAATTTGAGAACACTGCTTTCGGATAAAAAATGCAGACTCTCCTATATCTTTCCCTTTCCTTGTTGAAGAATTTTTTGCTCTTGCTGTGCATTTGGTAGGAGGCAACTGCTTGTCATATGCTGCCAGCCTCGATACAATTAGCCTCCTGATGCTAAAGCACCACAATCCTCTGACAGTCTTAATCCCAGCTGCCTCCTTAAGGTCCAGACAAACACAAGTGAGCAGGCAGGTCAGACGCCAGGGCCATTAAGCAGAGAAAAAACAAAGTTACAGCTCTGTCTCCAATCCCCATTGCTCTTGTAGCCAGGTGCTCTGACAAGCAATTCCAGCACTGGTATTGAGTGGCACCTCTATAAACCCTGTGACAGTTTGGGAGACAAACTCCCCCATCAATCAGAATGTACCTATCAAGATCACTTACCTAGAGTGCCCGCCACCCTCCAGCACTGTGTACACAGCTTTGCTTGGGCTGGCCTCGGAGCAGTCTGCCTGAGCACCAATTCAAGGTAGTTTCTGAAAAATTTAGGTACTCTACACAAGCAACAGTGTTCCTGAAATACCGATGCAGAGCTCTGAAAAGCAGAAAAAATTCGCATGCCTCTTCGCTGCCGCCAGGCTGCAGGCACTGGAAGGCTACAGGAATCAGCTGAGCTTGAAGGAGACTGGAAAACACTTCCCACATTCTTCCATGTGCCTATTAATAATGGCTGGAGATAAATTTCATCAGAAATCCTTTTCTTCCCCTTTCTGTAAGTTTTCATAGCACTTTGGTTCCTCCTAAGCCGACCCTTATGCCTAAGCATC